GACATTTCATCTTTAAACTTATCCTCCAACTCTGGAATTATTTTAATCACCACTCTTGCTTCTTGAATGCTTAGCTTCAGACCATAGCAAAGTATTTTCCTAAAACTGGTAAGCTCAGCTAAATTAATATGGTACACACCAAATAGACCATTTGACAAGTAAAATCCACTTCCAAAAGTCTACTAGTCACTGAAATACTTAGAATGAAAAATGGGGATTGATTTTTGTATGTGCTATGAAAAACTAGCTTTTCTCGATCAACCTTTTCCCCAGCTGTGTTGTTCTTTCCTGTTTGTCAATTCTCAGTACATCTTAGAGGTAGGAAATTCTTCTACTGCTTGTGAAACTAGAAATAGCATAGCATGTAATAATAACACAGTATGATAGTTATTAGGACGACGTATAGCGTCTTTGTTGTAGAGTGCTCTGGCTGTTTTCATCAATAACTGGGGGTCAAATTGCCCATCTCTGGAAAAGGAAGAACTTAGAGAGAGGATTCTGTCAGACAGATATAAGCCACAAGACTGCCAAGAGGTGACCAGTTATTCAGCTTAGCTGGCTGGGACCCATTCACGTCCATGAGACTCAGACCACCATAGGGAGTAGCTGGTCTGTCTTGGCTAGAACTCTAGAGTGGTAAATTTATGACCACAATACCAGTAATCCATTTATTTTTTTTCTCAGTATAAGGACTCTTAAGAATGCTCCAATCTCCCTTCTGTGTTTACTGGCTTCTATTCCTGGGGAATCAGCCACAGTTTCTCAATTGTCTTCAGAGCATCCTTTGGGCTTAAGAAGGGGAAAGAAATGAATTTCTTCTGCCTTTACAGATGAGAAAATAGAAGTACAGAGAAGATTGGGAGAATTGCCCAGGGACATCTACAATAGTTAACCTAAGATTTTAATCCAATTCAATCTACTCTTCTATCTACCTATCTTCTTATCTGTGATCCCTTTCACAAGAAGAACTTTCATATAGTTTCAAAAAATAGGTTGTGCATTCTTGTTAATCTGAGTAACAGCTATATTGGGTGAGGCAGCGAGAACACTAGTCTAAGGCCATTTTCTGAAGCATAACTTTTACCCTGTCTCTTTTTGGGCATGGAGAATGAACCAGAGTTGAGTGGAGGTGAGGGATAGTGGGTGGGTGGGTGTACTGCGGACTTCTTCAGGTATGAGTCAACAGTATCATAGTGAGAGTCTAAGGAGACATTTAATAACATGCAGTGATAGTTACTGTCATGCAATATCATTAAGAATATTAGAGATGATGGTCTGGATCTAGGTTGAAATTATCAAGATTAAAAGGTTATTAAGTATTTTGGGATATAAATAAATAAATGCCCAAACAGCCTATGAATTATATCATGTGTTCTGCAAAGGTAGTTAAACTTAGGGGATACCTGGCTCTAAGCTCATCTCTCTGGTTATTCACAAAAATAATTTGAGTCTAAGGGCAAGGCATCTTTGTTAGCTGCCCCATTAATAAAGTGGACTTCCTTTTTCATTCATCGAGCCTGACAAAATGCTGCAACCTGACATCCCAGCAGGCAGTTTTCACTATTGTACTAACGACTCCATCTGTTATGAAGGTCACAACAATGTATCTTGTTTTAAATTTTTCTATGGAGTGATTTATTGTCTTGGCTATAAATTTGTAAAGAAATAAAACGCTATTTCTTCATCGTCTCCTGAGGTGACGGGCTTTATTCACAGCTCACGGAAGCTCATGTTTTGGATCTGTCTTTTGGGTGGAAACATTTAGTTGGGTACAGGCTACTAATTGCTGTGTGCTATTGTGATCTCAGTCCCACCACTCATATTTGTCCCATAGTCAGAGAATGAAAAATGCTCTGATCTCCTTTGTAATAATCAGGGTGAGGGATTTTTATTTACAAAGTTAAGAAAAAGTATATGGAATTCTGGCAAGTCCATGCAATCTATCAAGAAATACATGGCCCCAGTCAAATAACTTAAAACAGGTTTCTTTTCTGCTACCATATTGAAAACGCTTAGTCAATTTCATGTTACTTTTTCTGTGGTTCTTGAGGTGGAGGGTGGAGTGGACCCTCCATGGGGACAAGAACAACTGCTGCATCCCCACTATTTTCCATGCCTACAAAAGAACGCAGTTCCATGATCTCAGTTTTAGTTACTTTATTTTATAATCCAGCACTGATGTCTTCAGAATAAGAGGACAGAAAGGAGCACAATGGTGGCGCTGCCAACAATGGGGTGGCCACAATCATCACTAACACCAGCCTCAAAATACATGGTCTTCAGGCAGCTTTTACATTCCCTTTTGAGTTTAAAGACTGAAAACTCTCTACCCATTGAAGAATAGACAAATCATTTAGAATATATGTGTTCAACCGTTCATTGATCTTTAGATACAGTTCCATTGCCCAAAGCCAACAATTCAAAAAGGCATTAACTAGAGATATTTTCTTGTTTTGTTTTGAGAAATGCCTTTTAGGTCAATATTTAGTCAAACCATTTTTTTTTTGTATTTTCTACATTTATGATGCTGAAAAATGAAAATCTCTCCTCAGAATGTAGTGACTTCAATAAGAACGTTTATTTCTTGAAAAGAAACTACTCCTCTTTTTGCATCAAATTCAGTTTACGAAATTACAGACTGGAATTCACTACACTGGTGAGCATAGCTTTGTGTGTTCTTCCTGTACCTGAAATTGGACATGACTTAGCAAAGACCTGCTTATGAACAATGTTAATGATTTGATTGCGTGTTTGATTTACACACATGCATATGCATGTACACACACAAAATGGCTGATTTTTAAAATAAACATATATAAACAAGCACAGTAATGTTATAATATAAATGGATTTTGTCATTCAGTAAAGTTTCTGTGAAAAGTTAATATCCTTATTCCAAGGATAGCACCATTTTGAAAACCAATGAAACAGTATTTAAACTTTAGGGGTCTGTATTTGGAGCTATATTCAGAAATAAAAATCTAATTCAGACAAGTTAATCATTCTCACAACTTTTGTATAAGGAGAACACTCACTTCCAATTTGATCACATGTATATTTTATCTTCTGCTTCCCCCTTGAAGGTTACTTTTATTCCTAGCCCATTTCCTGCTCTCTTTGTTAATCTCTTCCTCTGAAAATCCTTCCCTCTTCCTCTTCCTTTTAACCTCTCCTTCCTCCTTTTCGGGTCTCCCAATAGACCTTGAACCTAAAGCAAGTGTTTCCAGGAGTTGAAGGCCTCTAAGGACTGAGCTGGTGTGAGATTTGTTTGGGACTTGAAATTAGAATGAATTTAACATAACAAATGGGAACAAGGTGATTGCTTTAAATTCATTTAAGTGCCACCTGGCTGCTGTAATTGCATTAGGTTGAAGGCATGACCTCCTTGCCAGTGCACTGTAAACACCAGTCTCAAAGAATTCCTGGAAACCAAGGACACGGTTGTCTATTGAAATGAGAATATTTGTATCAATTTTCAGCCTTCTTCTTGGCACCATATGTGGTCACAGCATCCATCTGGTTTTATCTTTGCAATTATGTCAAGATGCCTCCTTCAACCAAATAGCATTGGCCTTGAGTGATAGGTAAAGCAAACAGCCACTGTTTGTGGACACATCCACGTGGCGTATCCTGCTTCTTAGGCCTCCTCCATGAGTAATCAGTGGGTCCACTTTGCTTCACTGTGTCTTCTTCAGAAAGATATTTATGTGCCACTCCGTACCCAGGGTAGTGTTTAAGAGTAAATACAGCTTCAGCTATAGCTGTGCTTTGTCTGAAAAGGGCTAGTCTGTTCTGCAAGGAGGTGGCTGAGCTAAAGAAAAGAGCTGGGAAGCCCCATAACATCTAGTTCTAGGCAAGGCGGCTCCCAAACATTTAGTGAAAATCCTGTGAATTTCTGCAATTTGGGGCTCTGCTCTTTCACAGGTGGACTCAAGAACTATCCATTTACCTTTTTTTTTTTTTTGTCTATTCAGTACCGAGTATATCTTATTGTACTTTCTTCTTTAAACAATTATTAGTTCTATTTCATTCAGCAGCAAGATTGTCTACTACAAGTGGCTGAAAATCTTTTCTCATGAAACCTATCTTACACATTTTATATTCTTAAATACTAAATTTCATTGGTTAACTTTCAAGCTTAAAGTCTGGTGTAAGCAGAGGACAAAGTGGTTTTCATTCACACAAAGTGCAGTCTGAAAAAGTTTGCTACGGCTGCTGCGCAAACCATGTGTCACAATAAGGATCCAGTCCAAGCTCCGGCAGAGATACTCACCCTTTCCTGAGCACAAAATGCCATCTGCTGATTCACACAAACTCTTACTCTGTTCCTCCGTCATGTTACACTTCCTGGGATGTTGGCAAAGCTTTCCAAACCATCCTCTCTCACAAATGCAGCGACCACAGGAACATGTGCCGTGGCCTGTGAAGCAATCACAGGGTGGGGTAAGAGAAGGAGATGGGCAAATATCCAGCTAAATCACAGTTTTTAAGAAAGAAATATACAAACATAGGCTTTCATGCAAACACACTTTTCTTCAAGCAAACACACTTTTTCTTTATGCATAGTCAATTGGGCATGTAATTTTTTAAAAGAATTTCACAATAGAATTCTAGCTTCATATGAACATTTCTTCAATGTGGCTTAGGAGATGGACTCCAGAGAGAGAGAAATTTTGAAACAATTTAAAATGGAATTTTACCATCCATTCTTGATACAGAATACATCTTCATTTGCATTTTTATCAGTATAGAGTATTCATGCTTTTCATCATTGTTCACGTCATGACATTCAGACCAATGGGCAAAGCTAGTCAAGTGACCATTGCTTGAGCATTTATTGATTGCTTTCCTATTGTTTACTAATAAAAATAAAAGGTTAATTTCTGCAAGAATGGCATCCAGTATTACATTTCTCTATCTGTGTAACTCTCTACTTACTAATAAGAACAGACATAAGTTTAAGTAATGGTGTCTATTATTGCATAGATGTTAAAACCATCCTGAGGCTTAGATTCATATCTTTAACTATTTTTCCTTTGTTTCTCTCATTGGCTCCTATATTTTGGGAAGTCTATCTTTCAGTAATATACACAATTTTTTTGTGACAGTTATTCACTAGCATATACATTTGTCTAGTTGCTTGCCACCAACACCCCGTTAGATTGTATCATCTTCCATTTAAATTTGTCTCCAATCAACACCTTATTCTTTTTCCTATATGTGCATTACCTTACAACCAGATGGCTCCAAATAGAAAAAAAAACAAAACAACTATTTGTTTGACAAAATGTTACTGAGTATCTATTATAAACAAAGCGTTTTGCTAGGTACCAGGATATACAAAATCAGGCATTATGGACACAATTGTCCCTCTCACAGACACAGGAAATCATCATTCAGACTGATCAGCCCCTCTGGATCTGTTGACACCATTCTGTTTTGACCATTTGCTCTGACAGAGTAAATCAATTCCATCTACCTCTTCCTACACTCAGCTTTGCACAAGGTGGGATTAGTGGCCAATGCTTAATTGTTTGCAATTCATTGTTATGATTAACTTAACCTCCCAGAAACCCAGGTAAGGTTTTTACATAACACATGATCATCTGGAAGTTAATGAAAACCAAAGTTATTGGGAGGCAAACTCAAAAGGAACCTGGATTAATAGACCTATTTCCAAGAGGCTCTTTTTATCCATATGTCGATTTATTGAATTTAATCTCACAGCCCTTTGAGTCAGGTATTATTCCGATCTTACAGTCAAGCAACTGAAGCTCAGAGAGATAAAGTAATTTTACCCCTTATCATATAGCTCAACCACACAGAATCATAACTTGACTCCAGTTTCTCTGATTTCAATGTCCACTCTTTCTCCATTGTGTCACATCGCCTCTATATTTCATTTTGGGAAATAAAGATGATGAATTTGAGACATCCAGAAGTCTTTTCTTAATTCCTATATTTTTTAGCTGCTGCATAATTTGAAGGTATATATTTGACATTTATGGGCAGTTTCTTCTTAAAATTTCTCTCCTATATTGGTTTTTATTACATTAGACTCCTCCTAACTTTTCAATAGTCCTTTTCTATTTAGTCTCCTTTTTGCTGACCTGATTAATGTAGGTATCCCCTGATTGTCTATCTATTATTGTCTTCTTTTATCTCTCTGTAATCTCTCCTTTGAAAAATTCATCACATCACAGAATTTCTGATAACCACAATTATCGTAGGGCTATACCACCAGCTGCTAAATCTCTCCTAAATTCCACTCCTGTGATTCCATATTTTGTGTTCTACTAGCATCCAAAATTAATACTTCTAGATCCGCATATAAGTTTCTTTCTAAAACTACTCTTCTGTATTATCCATTTATTTTAATGATACAACTTTCCTTCCGACCAGATCAAGATGTTTTGTATCACTTTTGAATTTCCCTTACTCTCCTCATCTAAAGAGTTTCCAGGTCCTGTTAAAACTACCTCCAAAATATCTACTCATATCACCATTATAAAACTTCGAGAAACCTTCCTATCATGTCTTTCTCCAATATTCTTGCTCACAGCTTCCTGTAGCACAACACTACTCAAATCACAGTCTTGAGATCTAGTGCTATATAACTCCCTAATATTTATGAAATGAAATTTAGCTACTTCAGACTTCCTTATGTTTTAGGTTCCTGAAATAGAATCCCAAGCTATTTTTCCAGTATTTCTCTCTCCTCTTCTCCCTTTTCATATATTCGATGATAGGTAATTATTTTTATTTATTACTTCATTTATCTTTCTACAATATTAAGTTGGCATCTAGCCGGACAACGGTCAAAATGCACTGGTATTTACATATTTTGATTTGCTATTTGTATGACTTCCCTTTAGTTAAAAAAGTTTTTTTTTTTTTTAAGTTTTCAATAACATCTTCTTTATAAACTCTTGTAATTTTAGTCATTCATTCAAGAGCTATTAATGTGCACCAGGCATCATACTAGAACTACCTTTGTGGTGCTTACTGTCTGTCTACCAGGGAAGAAAAGAAGTAACAACGAGTGAACAAATGCACTTGAGCTGTGTAAGAATTTAAAAGGGTGCTAGTACATTCGACAGCGAAAACACTGTTAACTGGAGTAGTCAGGGAAGGGCGGGCTCCGTGACACCCAGGGGATGAGAAGGAGCCAGAGAAGCAATGTTCTAGGAAAGCTAATGAAAAGTTCTGGGAATAAGAAAGAACTTGGCATCTTACAGGCAGTGAAAAAAAAGGGCAATGTGTTCAAAGAATAATGAGTAAGAAAAATGGAATAAATAATAAAGTAGGAAAAATATTCAAGAATGGGAACCTAGAAAACTGTTTATTCTTGGTAAGGAGTTTAAATTTTATTATAACAGAAAAAGGAAATCATAGAAGAGTGTTAAGCAAGAACAATGTGATATAATTTACAATTTACAAATTTATTTTTGCAACTAAATTGGAGAGATTAAGTTGTGCTGGGAATTGAGTATGGGAAAAGCGAGAGAGTATTGTAGTAGTCCAAGTGAAAGGTGATGGAAGCTTAAAGTAGGATGGTGGCGTTGCAAAAAAGAGAAGTGAAGGGAGATCTATTTTGGTGGTGGTGCCTGTGAGACTTATTGAATTGGATGTGGCATACGAGAGAAAAAAAGAACAAGTGTTCTGGATAGAGAAATATTGCAAGTAATAATGTTATATATTAACTATGGAAGCTGCAGGATGGGGAGATTGAGAGCAATGAATCAGCTGTTTTGAGCCTCTCGTGTTTGAGATGCTCATTTTTCTTTTTTGTAGAATTTTTTTATTGGGCATTTACCTAAGAGTAGAATTTTGGGGTATTAGAGCAAGTGTGAGTCCAACCCTAGGAGATACTACCGAAGAGCTTCTAAAAGTGGTTGTGACAAGTAACACACACAATAATGTATGCAAGTCCACTTGTTCTCCATACTCACCAGTAGTTGACATTTGCAGTGGTTGCATTTTATTTATGTTTTTGGTTTTTTGTTTTTTGTTTTTTTTACCTTACTCTTAAGACAACCAAGTGGAAAGGTCAAGGAAGCAGTTGACATGAGCCTGGTATTGAGGGCAGGTTAGGGCTAGGAGTTTACATACTGTAGTTTCAAACAGTAGATGGCATTTATTTTGGAAGTGAATGAGCCCACCTACGGAGAAGTAGTAAGTCTTGGGAAACTCCAATATTTAGAGTTAAGATAGATGAGGAGGAGCCAGACAAGTAGGCACATTCAGTAAGAAGGAGAAAAATAAGATGATTGAGTTGTCTCATAAGGTGAGAAAGGAGATCTTAAAGGAGGCTTACCAAGTGGAATGTTCCTGAAACTTGCAGTTTAAAAGAAAATGAGATTATAAGAGTAGTTTGGTCAGCTTTTGCTGAACCAGCCCTACTCTGTTGCCACCCAGGCCTATGACTAGAACACCTAAAGTGGCAGAATCGTTGAAATATATATACATATATATAAAATTAAGTGAGGACAATATCTGCTTGGTAATAGAATCCAGTGATGTTATCTTCACATAAGTGTACAATAGATCATTCTAGAATAAACTTGTAAAGCGAGCTAGCATAATGAATTATTTGAAGCACATTAAATCTGCCTTCACTTGACTTTTCAGATTCTTACATAGGCAAGTAGCCTTTAATTTCATCTCCATTTTCAGTACCATTCACCCTCTCCTAGATGCTTACCTCCTTGGATCTGGTACTCCCATCAGTGATTTTTGTTCCTATTTTTATTCCATCCCACACAATAAAATATTTGCCAATACTCTAGGCCTGTGTTGTCCAGTTTAAGTTTACTGAGTTAAATAAAATTTTTAATTCAGTTTATCAGTTGCACTAGTCACATTTCAAATGCCCAGTAGCCACATGTGACAAATGCATGCTGTGTTGAATAATGCAGATTTAGAACATGCTCATCATGTCTGAAAGTTCTATTGGATACAACTGCTCTAGACAATAACTTTGTCCAATGAAATTCTTTGGCTCAGAGACACATTTTCTTAAAACATTGCAATGATGCTTCTCAATTAGGAAACTGAGCCATGAATGGATTCTAACTGTATAAGATATGACATATTATCTGCCCAATATTCTTCTCCCCTTGTTAATATTAGAACACCTGTTTTTGTTTTTTTTGTTTTTTTATTTTTCAAAGAAGTGATATTATGTCTATCTGGAATATGTTTGATTACTCAGGCTCCTTTTGGCCTAGAGGCACCCCAAGGACAGAGCTCTAATAAATGAGATATAAAAAGAAATCTCCTGGGTGAGGTTGCCAAGAAAATGATTGTCTTCCAATGGAAATGAGACAGGCTCAGTCAGTGTATGTCCTTTTTCCTTTGCCCTTTTTCCTTCCCCTTTCTTCTTTCCCGGGAAATAGACACAACTGGAGGTTTTCTATG